AATGAGGCAAGGACCTTGTTTTTATGTGTCTGGACTAGCATCCTCCCTGGTTACTTTAAAAAGGCATGACAGTGTTTACATGTAACCTCTAGAGGAATGTCTTCCCTAAAATGGGACTCAATGGAATAAGCAAAGCATTAGGAGAAACAGTCTCTGGATTTTATCTTCATTTTGCCATCTGAGAAAGATGATTTGAGACTCCAGTTTCTATTCATTAATGGAGACAGGCAGGCTACCCACTTGGTTCACAAAATATGACTGAGGAATACGAGATGACTAATTGCTTTGCTTAAGGCAGAACAACTGTGTGGCTATGGCAGAGACTGCTAATTGTTCACCCCATATCTATTCACCCTTCCTTCCTTAGAAACAAAACCAAGATTTTATTCAAGGGTCCAATGTATTAACCAAGACAATGCATTCCCTGTTTTCCTTGGGTACAGATACGGTCAATGAGAGACACGTGGATAGGTTGTATCTTCTAGGAAGACTCCTTAAAGGCGACCGACTCAACTTCTGGTTGGAGCTTTAGTGATCAGTTTGCACCATGAAATGACACTGAGAATGAAAGTCCCCTGCTAAGGATGGTAGAGCAAAACGATAAAGGAATCCCAGTTCTCTACTGACCCTGCAGTGCTGCCATGTCCTCCCGGGACTGCCTGTCTCCAGAATTCTTTTATATATAAGAGAAATAACCTTCTGTCTCGTTTAAGCCAAACACAATTCTTGATGGATCCATGCTCAACCTTATGAATGGCTCACCGACAGGTTCACCCCAACATTTGCAGGGTTCAGGCCAGGAGTATAGGTGGAAATCCCCAGCCTGTGGTTCATTCCTTTTCCTTTCCCCTTTTGCTCTGTCCCATTAGGTGGATATCTGAGCTCACACTTTTAGGCTTAAGTCCCTGTGCTAACATTGCCCCTTGGCCACTCTTCAGGCCTAGGCTCTATGTATGTCCTGTTCGGAGGACGCATCCCAGGAGGAGGCAGCTATAGGCTCTAGAAGTGAGCTCAGAGCATTTAGGCAGCAATCGAGGACCCTAGGAATCCAGGGTATGGCCCAGAAGTCAAGGAAGGTTTAGGCAGGTGGCATGTTCCTTTGGCCCTGTGATCTCCTCACTCTGTGGAAAGAAGTGTGGCCCTTTAAGTCATAAGACCTAGGACAGGGGCCCTAGTTGTCAGAGCCTAGAGGCAATACCACTGGCTTCTCTCCCTTGCACCTCCTAATGGCTGCCTTTACACAATTTACACATTGACAGTGCAGCAAAATGTGGTTTAGTCCAGTTAACTACTTGTTATGACAGCCTTGGTAAGATTATCTTTTAGGGTCTGGAAGTATAGTTTGAAATGTGTTGTTTTCCTGCTCCTACCTTCTCTCTTCCATAAGACAGTACAATGGGAAGCTGATTAAGAATGACTCTCTGCCAAGCTTTTCTTTAGTAAGTTGTTATTAGGATGGCTCAGCAAAAGTTTATCAATCAACTGCAATATCAGTGTGAGTGTCCTGAGTGGACTGAAGGAGGAGTCTCCAAATCCTCAGTCTCTATCACCTGTTTGAGTAAACTCTCCAAGAGGCACTTAGCTGATAGATCTGCACAAGCATTGCGCCCTGGGAGTCCGGTAGAGTCAGCTATGAATTCTGATTGCCTCCAACTGGAATAGGGACGGTTCCTCTAGGAAAATCATGCAGGAGCAGGTGGAGATTCAGCCCACGAGAAGTGTGCCACTGAAATGACCCAAGTCTGGGCCCCAAATGCAGCTGGATACCTTTTTCTGTTACTCAGGAAGCTCTCCACTCAGCCCAGGGTAGCAAGAACTGAGATCTGCTGTGACAGTGCCTGACACCAGGATCCACCCCTTCAGCTCATATCCCCACATATAATGACTTCAATTCCTGTGAGGACTCTCTCTTCTCCACCGCCTAACTGACAGGACCGGTAAAGCCAGCTTCACAAACATGAAAATATCTGAACAGTTGACTGCCTCTGTGTATGTTGGAAACTTGCTTCATTTAGTTCAGTGATTCTAAACCTTATTTTGGATTACAGATCTCTATGTTCTCTACACTGTATAATTACCACAGGACTTCAGTGCTCACCCACACATCTGAGGACTGCTGGAGCCCCTTTCAAACAGTAAAGTATAATCACAAGAACATTGAGTGAATAATCTAAGATGCATGTACTTCTAGCTTCATCTTTCTATCTACATTTTACTAGTTTGCTCACAGGATGTATTACACAAACACACACATACATATTAGGACGTTTTGACATCTTAAAAACCTTTCTGGCTGGGGAAAGCCTGGCCTTCCTGGGCCTAGGCAATTCTTAGAGATAATAAAGGGTCCCGCCAGGAGCATGCCTTTAACATGCAAACTACATGATCCAGAGCCATATCTCCCCTGTTTGGCCTGTACTCTCAAAGAGCAGTATTCCTCTACCTTAATCATTCTGGGGCTAGACCAGGCAACTAGGGGTGACCTCTATAGTTTAGAATGTGTTCTAAATTTTAGGCTGTATCCTTAGCACTGATTCCCAGCAGGAGCTCAATGATATATGTGACATGATGATATGAATGAATGGTTTCTGATAGCCAAAGCCTCCTTTAGTCACTGAACTGGTGATGAAAGATGTTCTCAGATGACTATTCAGGGAACTTGCTGAAATAGTCTTTGTTCTTCTTCCTGCATTTAGAAATAGTCTTTAGACATATGTGCTGCCAGTACACACATAATGAATCAGATTACATTTTTTTATGAGAAAAGATGAAAAAAGTCTTCCATTTTTATGGTCAGAGAAACCCAGACTATTATACCCGGCTCATTTCTCATTAATAAAACAGAAAATCTTTTGCCTTCTCATCTGAACTCTTCAAATTAATCTAACGTCTGATTGTCCCAAAGCATTACTATATACAGCAACATCATTTGTATCACAGAATTGGAAATGACATACATAGCTAACCAGAGTGATGGTTAAATAAACTATGACATGCTCAACTGATGGAATCTTCTGCAGCCTTTGACAATGGTGTCTACAATACAATCTGAGGTTAAGAGTGAAACATAAAATTACATATGTGATATGACTGCCATCATGCAACATATATGAAATAGAAAGAGATACTACTGAATATTAATAGTGTCTGTTTATCTGTTAAGACTGTGAATGATTTTCTTTCTACTTCTCTGAATTTTTCAGCTTTTTCTCTAACGACCTTTAATATTTTACACTCACAATGAAAATCAACATCAATAAATCATTGAATTGTTAATTGAAAACATCTTGTTGGCTGGGCGCGGTGGCTCATGGCTGTAATCCCAGCACTTTGGGAGGCCAAGGAGGGCGGATTACTTGAGGTCACGAGTTCAAGACCAGCCTGGCCAATATGGTGAAACCCCGTCTCTACTAAAAATACAAAAATTAGCCAGGCATGGTGGTGCATGCCTGTAGTCCCAGTTACTCGGGATCCTGAAGCAGGAGAATCGCTTGAACTCAGGAGGCAGAGGTTGCAGTGAGCCAAGATCATACCACTGCACTGCAGCCTGGGTGACAGAGCAAGACTCCATTTCCAGAAAAAAAAAGAAAAAAACAACATCTTGTTATTTTCTGCTTTAAAACTTGACACTGGGTATTTTCACCTAAAAGAGCTGAATTGATACTGGGTGTTTTCACCTAAAAGAGCTGTATTGAGATGTACAGAGAAAACCCTACAGTGAAACCAGCAGAAAGCAGTGATGGAAACACAGAGAATTCTCTAGTCTAGCAACTGCCTGTGTAATAATAATAATCGCTGACATTCACTAAGCTCTTACTATATGCCAGGCATCTTCCATACATTTTTAAAATATCTTCATAAAAGCTGTAGGAGATAGGTATTACTGTCACTCGCATTGTATAGATGAAGCTGAGACTTAGAGTGGTTAATTCATTGCTAGTAAGTGGAGGAGTCAGAGACTTTGATTCCAGCAGTCTGTCTCCATGGTCTGCCAGTTTCTCACTATGTCTACTGCTCCCTCCAATGTAAAAGCAGAGACTGTGGGGGAAAAGAGCACAGTCCTAAGCCATTCTTCCTTTCACGCAAAGATTCTTGTGTTGAACAAAGGCATGGCCTCCATGTCTATTTTCAGACTGAAAAGGAGATTCTGTTTAGGTAAGTCCTCGGACGACTCCTACCCATCAGTGGAGATGGTCACTAGTAACCGCTTATTCAACATGTTGTCTCAAGGCTCTAATTAGAGCATGGTTCACATGTTGCCCATCTTTGTACATAAATCTATTGCTTTAGGTGCTAAAAGCTCATCATAGCCAAACTTTGCAGACCCAGACCAACCTGAGAACAAAGGTCACTCTCTACTTACCAGCACGATTATAGGCACTCTTTCTTCATGTGCTTATAGAAAGCAGTTTCATCCTGCAAATGCTGGCCAACTCAATATGCTCAGCCGACACCATCAGGGCATATGAGTGCTTTGAGGCCCTCTGTTGAGCGGTCTCATTTTCTCTGCACAGAAACCTACTAGTGTAACGTTTCCATGAGTGATGGGCGGGGGAGAGGTTTCACTACAAGAGAATTTCAGAACAGGAGTAGGATACCTGGAGAGAGTCCAGTCCTTTTGGAGTCAAGTAGAGTCAAGTGTGTCACTAAAATGAAGCAAGTCCCTCTTCTGCTACTCCAGAGAATCACGAATGGGGCAGTGGGGAAACACAGAAACAGATTCCATGAAATCAGCCATGCAAGATTAGTCTGAAGGTAATGACACTGGGCTTAAAGGAAATCCATTACAAATGAAACTTATAACTCAAAACAAATGTGCCAATGGGCAAAATTTAATGAGCAAAAGGAAATTAATAAATAGAGATAAATCATATAAATATGGCCAAATTGTTAGGGCAAATGCTTGAGAAGATTGCTATGGGGTTATGAGTCCACCTCATTGTGCTGTTTCTATGTCCTGGCCCCTGAGGGACAGCTCTCTGTCATGCCCATTCACTTACTTTCTCTGGATCCGGACCACAGGATCAGCAAGCAGGTCAGTGACGTCAAGCTTTCTCCCCTTCTCAATAACATCCGGATGCTTGCGAACAAACAGCCACCCGATATGGGAGAAGAAGAAGCCCCGGCGGGCATTGTGGGGGTCAGCATCCGTCTCTGAGTACTTGTGGTGGGCTCGGTGGTCCCTGGACCACTCGAAGATGTCATTCTGCAGAGAGAATGAGAGCCTGAGTGAAGAGAGGAACCGCACCGCCAGGCGTCCTCCTGGGAATCTTCCCAGCCTCCCCTCCCCGACCAGTCCTCACTGCTGGTTTCACATTCCTCCTATCTTCAACCCACAGTTCCTCAACCTCAAGTTCAATCCCCTGTGGTCTGGAGTGGTTTTCATTAGAACAAGAGTAAATCTTCACTTAGCAGGGATCTCAGCTTATGTGTGGGACGTACCCACTGCAGGAAGTTCAGGCTTGTTGGGTGAATTAGTGCAGAGACCTGAAGGAAAGCTCTGGTGGGGGTGACTGAAGTCTCCTAGATCATTTGTGTCAAGAAAAGAGAGATCTTTTTTATGGCTGCACCGTATTCCATGGTGTAAATATACCACATTTTCTTTATCCAGTCTATCACTGATGGACATTTAGGATGATTCCATGTTGCTATTGTGAATAGTGCTGCAGTGAACATACATGTGCCTATGTCTTTATAATAGAATGATTTATATTCCTTCAGGCATATACCCAGTAATAGGATTGCTGGGTTGAACTGTAGTTCTGTCGAGATCTTTGCAGGGACATGGATGGAGCTGGGGGTCATTATCCTTAGCAAACTAATGCAGGAACCCAAATACCACTGTTCTCACAAGTGGGAGCTAAATGATGAGAACACACAGACCCATGGGGAAAAAAACATACTGGGGCTATCAAGGGTGGAGGGTGGGAGGAGGGAAAAGATCAGGAAAAATATCCAATGGGTACTAGGCGTAATACCTGGGTGGTGAAATAATCTGTACAACACACCCCCGTGACACATGTTTACCTATGTAACAAACCTGCACATGTACCCCTGAAGTTAAAAATTTAAAAAAATGAGGGAGACATCTTCTTAGGATGAAATCTTGGTTGTCAGAAGAGAGGGGCAGTCCTGAGTATGAAGGGTGCCGGTTCTTGGCCCAGATGTCTCTGCCTCTCTCCCTACTTTGATGTTCTTCATGTGTGACTCACATAGATCAGGAAGCCAGCAGATAAAAAAAAAAACCAAATGGCTACTTCCCCAAATCTCTGCAAAATACCAAGGCACCAGTGGCATCATTTTAGGACTGCTCTAACAGAGTATAACAGAAACGGAAGGGGGACAACTTTGGCTCCTTGGGTGTATTGGTAATCCACCAAGTGGAGAGGCAGCAGTGACGGAGGAGCGGGACAACACTCACTGGAGCCCCAAGACAGACTCTGGTACCCCTAGAAGGACAGGCAGCAGAGTCTGCCCAGCCCACAGAGCTGAAGTAGGGCTCAGTGCACGTGGGGAGCACACCCTATTGGACCTCTCGTAATGGGAGACACGGGAAGGTGTCAGGGGGCTGAGCTGTCAGGGGCAAGAATTGATGGCATTTAGTCTGTTACAATTAATGAGAACTTAGCTATAGCAATGGGTCAGTGAGATCTACAAACATTCAATTTACACTATTTTTTTTTTAATCTGATGATGCTTTCAAAGCTTTGAGAAGACGAATTAAATTGGGGAGTAGTGCTTTCGATAGGAAAATCTGAAAATAAAAATAAATTTACGTATTATATTGCATTAGCCTTTTCTTTCTATGACAATAGTAATAATGTTCTATACCATAATATTCAATACTGGGTAATGTTCTCATTAGGAGTCTACCATTTCATAGAGATTGGCTTCACCCTTCTGATGAGAAGGGAAGAAATTGTTTTGTTTTTGTTTGTTTTTCGAGACAGTCTTGCTCTATTGCCCAGGTTAGAGTACAGTGGTACAATCACATAGCTCACTGTAGCCTTGACCCTCTGGGCTCAAGTGATCCTCCCACCTCAGCCTCCCAAGTAGCTGGGACTACAAGTGTATGCCACCATGCCCAGCTAATCGTTTTTTGTTTTTTTTTTTTTTGAGATGGAGTCTTGCTCTGTCACCCAGGCTGGAGTACAGTGGTGTGATCTTCGCTCCCTACGACCTCCGCCTCCTGAGTTCATGCAATTCTCCTGCCTCAGCCTCCCCTACTTTGATGTTCTTCATGTGTGACTCACATAGATCAGGAAGCCAGCAGATAAAAAAAAAAACCAAATGGCTACTTCCCCAAAATCTCTGCAAAATACCAAGGCACCAGTGGCATCATTTTAGGACTGCTCTAACAGAGTATAACAGAAACGGAAGGGGGACAACTTTGGCTCCTTGGGTGTATTGGTAATCCACCAAGTGGAGAGGCAGCAGTGACGGAGGAGCGGGACAACACTCACTGGAGCCCCAAGACAGACTCTGGTACCCCTAGAAGGACAGGCAGCAGAGTCTGCCCAGCCCACAGAGCTGAAGTAGGGCTCAGTGCACGTGGGGAGCACACCCTATTGGACCTCTCGTAATGGGAGACACGGGAAGGTGTCAGGGGGCTGAGCTGTCAGGGGCAAGAATTGATGGCATTTAGTCTGTTACAATTAATGAGAACTTAGCTATAGCAATGGGTCAGTGAGATCTACAAACATTCAATTTACACTATTTTTTTTTTAATCTGATGATGCTTTCAAAGCTTTGAGAAGACGAATTAAATTGGGGAGTAGTGCTTTCGATAGGAAAATCTGAAAATAAAAATAAATTTACGTATTATATTGCATTAGCCTTTTCTTTCTATGACAATAGTAATAATGTTCTATACCATAATATTCAATACTGGGTAATGTTCTCATTAGGAGTCTACCATTTCATAGAGATTGGCTTCACCCTTCTGATGAGAAGGGAAGAAATTGTTTTGTTTTTGTTTGTTTTTCGAGACAGTCTTGCTCTATTGCCCAGGTTAGAGTACAGTGGTACAATCACATAGCTCACTGTAGCCTTGACCCTCTGGGCTCAAGTGATCCTCCCACCTCAGCCTCCCAAGTAGCTGGGACTACAAGTGTATGCCACCATGCCCAGCTAATCGTTTTTTTTTTTTTTTTTTTTTTTTTTTGAGATGGAGTCTTGCTCTGTCACCCAGGCTGGAGTACAGTGGTGTGATCTTCGCTCCCTACGACCTCCGCCTCCTGAGTTCATGCAATTCTCCTGCCTCAGCCTCCCGAATGGCTGGGATTATAGGCATGCGCCAACAATCCCAGCTAATTTTTCCATTTTCAGTGGAGACGGGATTTCACCACATTGGCAAGGCTGGTTGAAAATTTTAAAAATCCACCTAATCCTTGGGTTTTGGGGGAGAGAGAGAGGAGGCAGAAAGTTCCAAGAAGTATATGTTCAGCTTTGACTATAAAGAGAGAAAACAAGAGCCTGGCAGTTCATGTATATCAAAAATTATAGCCTGGCTTACTGTAATATGAAAGAGGTCTTTAGATTTTACAGTATATTTAAACATGGTAGTTGGAAAGAGTGAAAACATTTTATTATTTAGAATCACAGAATTTGGAGCTGTAAAAGAATTTCAAATGTCAATCAAGACTACTGTGGTCTAAGAAATAATGTCTTCCTTTTGCATTAGTTTATTGCTTTTATTGTAGTGCCCATGTGAACATAACATAGAAAGAACACTCTGTCCCCTATTCACAGATGGCAAAATTAAAGCTTAGAGGACATTTATACAAGCTCATATAACAAATCAAAACAATAATAGAATAAATATGGCACTTCCTTGGTGCCATATTTGGTTGGTTCTCAGTTCACAGTTCTCAGTTCACATTCCTATCAACAAGATATTTCCCTTACTCTCCAAATGTTGCAGGGAGGGGTCTTTTATAGAAAACTTTCATTCATCTTGTTAAAAGGTTATATTGGCCTGATATGGTTTGGCACTATGTCCCCACCCAAATCTCATCTGTAATTGTAATCCCCACGTGTTGAGGGAGGGACCTGGTGGGAGGTGACTGAATCATAGGGTCAGTTTCCTCCATGCTGTTCTCATGATAGTGAGTGAGTTCTCACGAGATCTGATGGTTTAAAAGTGTGTGGCAGTTTCCCCTTCACTCTCTTTCTTGCTCCACCATAGGAAGACATACCTTGCTTCTCCTTCCCCTTCCACCACGATTGGAAGTTTCCTGAGCCCTCCCCAGCCACGCGGAACTGTGAGTCAATTAAACCTCTTTTCTTCATAAATTACTCAGTCTCAGGTAGTTATTTATGGCAGTGTGATCATGAACTAATACATGCCTGTTTAATTCAATGCCATGCAATCTTGTAGAAACTCTACGTGAAGAGTTTCAAATAGCTAGAAACATTATTCTCACAAAATTAATTATAATACAACAACAAAAAGACCCATGATGATGAAAACGAGTTGAAACAGAGATATTTATTTTCATTCCTTTCACCTGGATACGTTTCCAACAGAAGCCACTTGACTGCAATAGTGGAATGCAGCAAGGGTTTTGGCCACATTCCAAATAATCAAGCACATAATCAAGCCAAAAATACTTTGATGTATTTTTTAATCCTTTGTTATTGCTGTGTTTTCAAGTGTAAAGCTGAGTCCAGTGAAAAAGTGACTCAAAGAATAAGATGTGTTTTCTAGTTCGTGGGAACTTGGCAATAATTTCTGTAAAAAAGAAATTAAAGAACAAGATGTGTGTCAACAATAGAGCAGAAAGAGAGCAAGATTTATTTGCTTACTCAATCACCTTTCTTCCCTACTTACCTGCACTTTTGTCTGCTCTGGAGTGATTGGGAGTGGATGGGCAAGGGAAAGAACCTACCTGTGAATACATTTGTGTTGAAAAGGTGTGAGGACCTAGAGCTCATTTTCGTACAGTCAGTATCTGCTTTAGCAACAAGCAGAGGGGAAAGCTGAGGATTAATGAGGAGGGAGAGATGGCCCAACTGTCTCAACCTCAGGAGGCGGGGAGTGAATGGAGATCGACTGTGCTGGAAGCTGTACCCCCAGTGGTATAATCTGATAATCTCTCTTCTTCTTAGTGTTTTCAAGATGCTGATAGCTCTTGTCTAAAACTATGTGTGCCACTCCATCACCTTTGCTGCACAGTTAACAAAAACAATATTGAGGCATACAGA